ATACAAAATATAAAGAAAAATAAAACAAATTAACCTGCACTACCTTTGAAAACCTTCGTGGGTGGCATGAGGGAGACGAGAGAGGGTTATTGTGTAGGACGACTTTCACTATCACTAGCATAGGAGACGATCACCCATAATCCCGCAGCGAGAGAGAGAAGAACCATTGGCTCAGTTGTGATCGTGTGACATTTGGCATCACATTCTACTCATATTGCAAGACATCGCTTGTTTATCAAGTTAAAATTTATTAGAAATGTTTGCTCGTCTTGCGGAACACTCGCAGATCAAGTTATTCGCAATCCAAGGTTTTACTGTATAGGGTAAGTAGACACTGTCTTGGCAAGTGAAGACTGTCAAACCAAGAACCTTACAGTAGTCAGAAGAAAATCTTCATGGAAAGAGAGACTGTCCATCGTAGGCACATGTAGGTAATGCAGGAAGAGAAAGAGACTAGCATGCTGACTCTGTGTCTTATGCATTCTTATCAGAGAGTAAAAGTTACTGGGACTTACTGCAAATAAGAGTGCATGTTTCCTCGCACTTGCAACCACAATAATAAGCACAGAGGCTTATTATTAATCTGTTTCCTTTTTGTAAGTGGGGAAAAAATGATATCTTCCCCAGCATACATAGAATAAAATGGATAAAACAGATTTATCTCCAGTAGAACAATATTCTCTGTATACTTATGTGGGAGTAAAAGCCACTGATCTTAGTGGAGTTTACTATAGAGTAAGCATGCGTAGTTTTATGCTTCAGATTTCCAGAAGCAGTTCCTTTTTTTCTGTGTAAGTATATATTTGCAGGAAAAAATCAATTAATTTTACAAATTGAGTATCTTATTTTACAAGCAAATAATTTTAATCAATAATTATTTAAGTTTTTTTTTTTTTATCCTGACTCTGCCTTTTATTGGTTGTGCTTTCTGTCATGCACATATGGACACGCTATAAAAATTCTATTGCATATATACATTTGTTGGGAGAAGCATCCCTTAGGTTAGTTTCAGTAGCAATTTGCAATCCTGCTTGACAAGATGAGAAAGCTGGGCAATGTAAAGGATTTTTGTGTATAATCTTTCCTTTGTGGGAAGGATTGTCTTAAATCCAAGATCATCTTAATTTCAAATAAATGTAGTATGTTCTAATTATTTAAAGGTGTAATCCTGAATTCTTTTGTGGCCTTTTAAAAAAAAAATGCCTCTTATAGTTATTAGTGGGCTTTGTACAGTGGCTGTACAAAACAATTTTTTTCCCACACTAGTTCTGTACAATAGGCTAATCTGCAAAATCACAGTGCCCAAAGCCAATACAGTAAAACTTTAAGCTTGAGTTTGGATTTTAACCAGCTTCAGTAACAGAATAAAATTATATAAATACCTGTGGCTATTTGCACTAATCTCCAAAGCATGCATTAAATATAGAGTATCACTGGAGTTAGTAAAGCTAATGTTAGAATTAAAATTCTTGCTTTTTGTTTGAAATCTGACTGCCATTTTTAATGTACTTGTTAATGCTGAAGTTGACCAACCCAGTATGTATTTTGTTTTCATTATAAGCACTTTGCTGTAAAATCTTTTTAACTCAAGTTGTTAATGTTGGATTATAAGAACAATGTGCAACTGTTAACTAATATTTAAATTATAAAAGACTATCGAGGCAAACAAAATTAATGCTTCTACTTGTATAAGAAATTGGAAGCATGTGACATCTTATTTGGGCTGTTTACTTGTAGACTAAAAGTTTGCATTTCTTTTATTCCACATGTTAAGTATATGAGATAGAACTTCTAGTAAAATTTAAAATAATATTAGAAAACTAGTATAGTTAAGCTGGAGTTCTGGTAAAAATTGGGCATATAGAGTAAAGCGAAATGCTTTATGATCCTAACAGTGCTATAAAAGGGAGACAATTGTTTAAAGTGATGGACAAAATAATAACGTACAAATGCAATTTAATGCATTTGGCTAAGCCATAATCACAGTACCCAGTGAATGAAAAGGTTAAAGCCTCAGCACAGACAAGGGCAAAACTACTTCTAAAACGTTGTAAGAGAACATGAGAGTCTAGTGCTATACTGTAGTAATGTTCCAAGTTATTTTTTTTTCTAAAGCATAGTTTGTCATGACTCCCACTTCTTTTACTTTCAATTCTAAAAGACATTTCTCCATCCTGAGAATATGCTGTGATTACTCTTAACATTACATACATAGAATATCATTAATAACTTTAGTAAAATACTGAGGGTCTCAGATGCCTTAAAAACTTAGCACTTTGAACTGACAGCTACTATCATTGTGAACCTCATTAATTGTATAGAGCCCTACCATGTTCTCAGTTGACCATAGCATCCATACTTGTCAGGCACAAAATCATTCCTTAGATTTGGGGGAATAAGAATAAGCTTCATGAAAAGTACTTTATAATTGGTAACAAATCTCAACAGCAAAATTAGTATATACATATAAATATGAAATATGAATCCAAGTTCAAGAGCAAAAAGCTAAACTCTTCATAACCGTAAATTAGAAACAAAACCATTTGAAAGTAAAACTATTAAAACCTATACCATTTTTTTCTGAGAAGAAACTTTTAATCATCCTTTACATGAAAGCACTTAGTGGTTCTGATTATGGTTTGTAGTTTTTCTTAGGTGTGTATAGAGAGGAGTTATTGCTCTCTCCAGCTGAAGAAAAGTTGAGAAGCCACAAAAATGGTCCTTTTAAACTTAGAAACAGCAACAATGTTATTTCTGATAAACTGCTCTGGTAATAATCATGAATCAGTTGGCATAAAGTCTAGTGTTCAAAGTCTGATAATTAGATTTCATGTTTGTATAGTTATTTTATAAAGTCAAATGTTTATCTCTGCACTTAATGAACGTAGTAGTACAGAAAGATAAATAAATGTGGGAAATAGTGGATTTTTCTGATGATAGGATTATTTTGCAAGACAGAAAAAGAATAATTATTCTTGACAAGAGAATTATGAATACTGATTGATAGTTTCCTGATGTCTGCTAGCGTCCCAATGCAATGTATCAGAGTCAAATGTATCTTAAAATTCTTATCGTTCACTTTCATCACAAAACTGCCTAGGGATGTTGAACTTGTTCTTAACTGTTGGAACAAAGAGATTTGGCAAATGCTTGTGATTTTCCTTAATAAACAAGCACAGCAGGATTGCAATTTCAGTGCCACAGAAAATACTAGCAACATTCTTCATAGCATGTTTAGACATCAGCATATTCTGTTGTAACTGTATAGCAAGGGAAGGTTGATTTGAGGAACCTGTGGGACCTTGAGATTTTCCAGTGAATATTCTTTTTAGTGGAGATATTTTTAATAAAGTTGTGTCCATTTTGCCATAGTATTCACCCTAATGTCATAATTAGATTCCTTGAAAAACTCTCTGAATTCAGAAGTCTCCTATTTTAGGTCAGTGCAGTTTTAATCATAGTCCATTGAATTCGGCAGGTAGCATTTTTTTGTTTTCTAGGGATTTGTGCAATAGTTCTTGTCCCTGACTTTTTTTGTGTGCAGTTCCAGTGGCTCATCCAGTAACATGGATACTATGCTCTTTATTCTGCACATTGTTCTGAAGTCGAAGGTACTCATAGAATAAAACAAACATGAGAAAATAGGATAAAGATGGCATTGATATGATAGTGGTATTTCATTTTCTTTTTAAAAAAATGGCACACATTCACAGTTTATTCTGTCATCTGAGTCTCACAGATTTGGAAGCTGTCAATGTGCTGTCCATTGATGCGAATCTCCATTTCAGTCCTTTTTGAACTTTTAGTGTCTGCTGCTGGAAGTTCTGGGATTGTTTTATCAAAATTTTCCATTTTGATCTGATATTCCCCTTTAGCACCTCGAGCCAGCATAGACGCAAAGTGGTGATGTAATACAATCTCTGATGGGAGATAGGATGTCCTCCTTTGACATATTTCCCCTGTGCCCTCTTGTGTGGCTGAAAGGAAGACTACTAGCTCAAAATGATGATGAGCCTCCCTTTGTAGAACAATGGCTAGAGGACTTGATGGTGTAATAGAATGGTAATAGGTCAAGGGAAAAATAAAAAATGGGCACTCTTCAGAAGTGATGCTATCCAAATGGAAATCCACAGTAGTTTGATGCAGTTGACCAGTTTCACGTTCTTCATAAAGAACTGCAGAAATCCGAACACTGGTGAGTGGACTTGGGCGAGTATTAGCCACTTGGAACATTAAGTATGGCTTTCCTTCTTTGTGTGTCACCACTGCAAGATAAGTGAACCGGATGGAGAGAGCTCGATTCTTTGGTCGGGCAATTTTTGCTACAAATGCACCTAAATAAAAGAGAACTTAAATATAGATCATGCATGCAAATGTAATTTTTTGGTGCTAGTTGATAGAAACAAAGCAAAGTTAAACAGATTAGTACATCACATTGTTTGAAGTAGAGAAATACAAATTAAGGTCAGCTTTAAATGTTGATTAAAATATATGTTAACATTTATTTTCAGGACAAGAGTATTTCCTATGATATAATATTTCAAGCTAATGTTGTGTTGCATCATCTCTCAGCAGATTTCTGTTGCAATAAATTTTATTATGGTAAACTATTAAATTTATGGTAATATGAAAATTACTAGTTATTGGTATTTTTTCTAATTATTGTTTCATTTTACATTATTATAAATGTATTGTGTATATTTACAATGCAGGTATGTATAGTGGAACATTACAGATGCTGACCAGAAAAAAATATAGTTATGCAATAGAATATATAGAACAAGGTTTACCTTATTTATAGTATATACTGGGTTCAAAAGCCCTCAAATAATCATATTGTTAGATTAAAAAAATGATGGACTAGGCATATTTACAGAGAAATGTCCCATTGAACTAAGTAGCATTTACTTTGTTTGTACAGCTGCTTTGGATCTTGTTAGTTTTAAACCATTTAATTCTGTGGGGGCGGACCCCATCTGTACAATAGATAACACTGCTAATTTAAAATCCTTTGTACTATTATTTTACTGACATAAAAATAGAAATACAGCTTGTCAAGCTGTTCTGAAAATAATTGTATTTTTTTGCAATGGTCAGCGACATACCCTTTTCCTTATTTCTCTTTTCTAACTTCACAACAGAATTTTCATATGAACTACACCATTGAAGCACTTAGTTATGAAGTAAGATCTGTTTACCTGTGATAAAGGCCTCCAGCATTAGACCCAGTACCATTTGTATAGCAAGTAGAGCAATTGCACTTGGACAGTCTCCACTTGGGAACATTGTGCCGTAACCGATAGTGAGCTGTGTCTCCAGCGAAAAGGAAAAAGCAGCTGTAAAGCTAGTGATGTACTTTACACAAATAGTATGGTTTTCAGGTGGGGCATCATGATCAATCTCCAGATCCCCATTCATTTCAGCTAAGAAGTACCAGAGAATTGCAAAAACAAGCCAGTGGAGGACAAAAGAAGCAGAAAATACCAACATCATCCATCTCCAGCGCATATCCATTAGTATTCCCCAAGCATCTTTTAAGTATGCAAGTCCTTTTCCTTGGGCACCATCCATCTGGAGTGTGCTATGCCCATCTTTAGTGACCATTCTTGGGTACCGTTGAGCCAGCAGAGGAGCACTAGGTTTGCTATTGTTGCCTTCTATCACTTCTGTCCTCATCTTCTGAAAACGAAAAGTAAAAAAACTGTGGGACACTTGTTTATCTATTCACATGATGATCAGAGATTCTGACATACTGGCAGTGGACTAGATGCTACATGCAGCTAGCCAAGGAAGTTTTTAAAACATGCACTTCTGAGAAAATTAACTTTGGAGAGCCAGGTTAGTCACAATGGAATAATTGGTACCTTATAAACACAACAAAACAAAAAACCAAAATGTCAGATGACTTTTTCAGACTTCTCTATAATTTAGAAATGTTAGCCAATTTATGTTTACTTGTGTGTCTGAAAGTTTAGTTCCAAAGTAGAACAGGAGTATTGCAAGTGTGCATCATCTGGAATTAAATAATGTGTTTATGAAGCAAAGTATTCTATTATAGCTATTTGTAATGTTATACTGTTCTGTATATAGCTCTTTTGGTGGCAATCTTAAGGCTGTCATATTACACCTGTTGCATAAAATTTTCCTCACAAACCTCTGTGAGTTTCTATCTACATTTTCACTGCTGCCAACCATGATATTCTTATTGTCTAGAATTGTGGTACCTGGGATGTAGCCTCTTCTGCTGAACATACTCAGGCCACTGCTGATGTAAAGCTGCATTAAAAAGGGGACAGAGAATAATACGGAAAATATTATGCAATTATATAAACTATAAAGAAGTCCTGAGGAAAAAAATGCCAATGCTGAATTCCAAATTTGCCAAAGAGAAACGGGAATGAGGCTTCTTTTATATTTTATTTTATTTTTTTATGTTTAATGTTTAGTCCGGTTTTCAAAGCAAATTACATTCCTAAGGGACCTGTAGATGTTGAACATAATTTTTTATAGCATAAGCTCATTCACATTTTAAAAAGGAGTACATATAATTTCAGAAATATATGAAATATCCAATCATGGTCTCTTGTTGCTAGAGACTGTGTAGTGAACCTGCAAACCAAACATTGTTTCCACTTTGTCATAGTTGTCAGGTATATGAATGACACATATGCAGGAGAAGGGCAAGAAATTCCATATAAACAGATAATTGTGTGTGGTATTTGGACACAGTAAAATATATGGATTTTGCTTGTGCTCCAGGTGTCTTAACTCAAAATTAGAGGTTCTGGTGAAGCGTTACCGCATTTTCCAAATATTCAGTACCCTGCAGATCACATTGTTTTGCTTCCACATGATTATTTTTTTTTTTATAAATATAAGTACATTTAATATTTTGCTCTCTCTGGCCCCTCTCCGGTGCTAATCCAGAAACACCCATCAGTTGTTGGAGCATATGTCTCTCTTCCCTTTCATCCCTACTTTTAAAGAACAGAATAGTTTATTTTGAACATAAGATGTATCTAGTTTGTCTAACATGTTCATATTGTAAAATTCTTATTTGTAGTTTTGAACATGGAAGATTTTCTCATGTTCAGTAGATCTAAATTGTATTGTAATCGTATATATAGGCATAATGTGATCATGAACGTGATTTAAACATATTATTTACAAACCTTATGGAACAATTTATGAAAAGTAATTCCACTATATATATATATAAAAAAAATTAAAGATAGGGAATAAAATCCAGTAGCTATGCAAATTATGTGTAATTGCTTAAATGCCATCACTGCATCATATTCTCGTACAGCACTTTTTTGTAGTCTGATCTGCTAGAACTGCAAGAAAGATTCAATCTTGCATGAGTGGCAAAGATGATTAAAAATTCTTCCTAAAATCCCATAAACTGGATTATGTGTCCATAAAAGTCAGTGGTCTGTAGCTGGGAATATTAAAGGCAAGACCATGGCCTACTGGTAATCTGATGGGATGGTGAAAATAATAGTAACAATATTTGTTTGTGAATTAAAACAGTGCCTTAGAGGCTATTATCTTTGCAACAATTATATTAAATAAGTTAATATTATTATGGCTATATTGCAGATAAAGCCATAATCTGGGTTTGTAGCAAAAGTAAGATTAACAAGTTATCCAATTCACAACACAGTCTCTTTATATATTATGCTATAGAAGCCTCTGCAGAAAAGCAGATTTTAGAATTGTGTCTCAGTTTCAACTGAGGATAAGATGAGCCCCCTTATTTAAAAAGAAGCTTTTTCTATTCAGAAAAACAGGGTGTGAATTTAAAAGTGTTTAATTATATGGAATATGAGATTAAATGGTCTTTAAAATAGTTATGAAATCTGGAAACCAATGAGCTAAACAAGCCATCTCAATTCTCTCTATAAAGTGGGTATTGCATTACAGTAGAAGTATCTAGCTAAGGCCACTAGAGCTCTTTTGCTTTTTGTTGATTTTTCATGAATTATAGCTAGCTAGGGCACTTGATAAAAGTGTTACTTGGGAACTGCTACTTTGTGAGAAGTATTTGTAATTTTACATCTGAAATTCATCAATTACATTTTAAATTACACCTTTGAATATCACTTCATCTGGAAAAATTGGAACATCCCTTGTTTCCTTATTTATTTAGTAAATATGTGTTCTGCGCTTTTTCTTGTAGCTCAAGGTACAGAAAAAATGAAATCAGAAACTAATAAAAACCCATTTTGAAATTAAGGCGAATCATAAAATGATTAAAATGTGCTTTTTTTGTTACTAACAATTCTCATTGGGTTCAGTCTAGCTATCATAAGTATAGAGAAATTAATATATGACATAATGAAATTTTCAAGATCTTGTTTCTTTATCTAATGCACATGACAGGCCAAGAATGGATAAGGCAGACTCACGCTGTTCATTTCCAGAAGCAGACCAGTAAGCTGCTTGTACATGTGTCAATTTGTGGGACTTGGAGGTACACAACAAAGTCCTTACTAAAATAAATTTTAGCATATTAGCATTTTTTCATTAACTCCTAGGGACAGTTAAGTAAATTGTGATATTTTAGTGGTTCTGTGTTAGTGGTTAGAAATGAACTAGGAGTTCTAACATTCATTTAAGTTCCTCTATTTTTGACACATCCAAAAAAGTCTTATATATCTTAGTGGGTTTGGATTTCTAATGCATTGGGTAAGGGAGAGGGACTGGGCAGAGATGAGCACTAGGAATTTTCTTTTGGAGGAAAGTGTGTGTGTATACATACATCATGCTGTCAATGCAACTTTACCAGCATTGAAGCAAGATAAATAATTGGATAATACCTTTTATAAAATGCCCCCCCTTTTTTTTACACTTCCTAAGAGCCCTTTTAAAAGGACCAAGAAGAGTTCTGTTACCTATTTTGCCTCTCTCCCTATTTATAAAAAACACAAAAATTTTAGTGAAATGCAGACTTCAGATATGCAGAATCTATACAAAGTTTTAGCAGAATTCTGACATTCACCAATAGGAGCCAGAAACAAATTAATGGCAGAAGGCCATTCTTTAAATTTAAGAAACAAGGACACTTGAATAATCCAGAATTTTCTCTTGTCTTAATCCACGCTGGGTTTCACCCAAAGCTTTCAGTCATCTCAGTAGCTTAATTTAAGGGGATAAGAATTATTTTAACTGTACTTTTTCACATCTGTATTGAGAAGAAGTTCTCAAAATTCTGTACAGTATTTTACTTTGATCTATAATATAGATTTATGGAGCTGGTCTTTTTTTACTTTCAGTCTGTATCCTAAAAATCCTTAACAAAACTTTTCCATCATTTTCACTTGCCAGACAGTTGATATTTTCTTTGGAATATCCTACCATGATCTCAAGATTTTGCTTGTGGAATAGATACGTAATTGAGATTTTTGTTTTTGTTTTCAACATGATTTAAATGACACTGCCATTTTGTTACTTATGCATTCAGTTTGGAAAGGCTCCTCACAGTTTTACTTTTTTTATCATCGTGAATAATTGAGCAATGTCCACAAACTAAAATACTTCACTTGATTTCAAATAATTTATGAATAAATTAAGTCAGGGGTAAGCAACAGTTTTTGACAGATAGGCACATTTGGAATTTTGAGAATTGGCCATAGGCACTCGCATAAATGACTACAGTGGGGGAGGCCTTTCCTTTTTACAAAATGGCTGACATGGTAGCCATTCATCTTAAGTATTATAATAGTAGAGGTTGTTTCTGCTTTGCGACATACCAGTTTATAATTTAATGCTTTTTTTAAGGAAAAAAAGCTAGGGCAACGATCCTAGGGTCACTAAGGAAGTGAGCATATTATTGTGTACTGGCGCCTTTTTAAAGTAATTAGTCCCAATACAGATTCTTGGGAACCATCCTGGTATTTTCCTCCGCTGTTTTAAATTACCTATTTATTTTTCTCCATTTTGTGATATTGAGAACTTTCCTCCCCACTCTCCCATTGTTTCCTGTACAATCAGTGCCGTTCAGCAGGATCATCCGATTACTAGAGGAGCTTTTTCACAGGAAAGGAGGCTGTAGTAGAGTTCTAAGCAAGGAAGGCAGTTTCCAGCAGTCCCATTATGCACACACTGAGCTGGACCCAAGCTATGATCTACTGGAAGCGGATGTTACAGTTCTGTCTTTTTTGAGTTTTATACTCGGAGAATGTTCAGAAAATTTTCACGTGTGACTAAATGTTAAACATTTATGGTTCTATAAATAAGAATTTTTACAAAGAATAATTGAATGCCACCTCCTGTGATGAGCTCTCCTTTGTTTTCTGTTCTGTCTTCTATTTTAACTGGGAGAATGTGTAAACAATTTTGGACTTTGCATATATGCATTTTGTTTTCTGTACATTTGTACATAAACTGGATATGTCAACAAACTACATAATGTATAGTAGTTAAAAATCTGAAATCTGAAGCAAGAATGATGGATCATACTTTACTGATGCAGCTAAATAGGCGTAGATAATTCAGAATCAGGAAGTCAGGTGAGCAGAATATTCTAAGAGAAGTAATAACATAGCTGCTCTTCTATAAAAGTTTGAAGCATCTCATATTCAAAGTATTTGCATCATGTCATTGCTAACAAACCGTGATTTTAAAAAATATCTTTAAACTCCTCCCTTGAAAAGAAAATTAGATGCTACACTGTTTTGTGAAGCAAATATTTTTTATAGCATGAAATTATGTTTTCCTTGGCATGTAATATTAACATTCCATTTTATCCCTCAGAACATTT